ATTCCTCGAACAGGTGCGAAGGGATTCGTGGCTCGCGGAAACAACAATTGGTCGAGGTACTGGTACGAACAGGAAAAATGCTTCGTAGGAAAATTTGATTTACGAATCGCAGGAGAATCGCGGGATAGTTGTTGCATTTGACAAGGAAAATTTCAAGCTTTTTTGAATTTATTTGCGGAGTATTTTCTTTTGTTTTTCGAAGCAAGGCAGGACAATACGGTGCAGGATTAAATTTCAAATAGCAATGTCTGGAGCAAAATTTGAGATAGTGAAGTTCGATGGAATCGAGAACTTTGAATTGTGGCAAACAAAAGTAAAAGATTTGTTGGCACAACAGAGAATTTTGAAGGCTTTGTATGCTTTGTATGTTACTAAGCCTGATAATATGGAAGATGAAGATTGTGAAGAGTTACAACTTCAAGCAGCAGGTATCATATGTTTATGTCTGACAGATGAGATTATGTATCATGTTATGTATCTGAAATCTCCAGGAGAAGTATAGAAGAAATTGAAATCTCAGTTTATGTCCAAATCTCTGACGAATAAATTGTATCTGAAGTAAAGGCTGTATGGGCTGAAGATGCAGACAAACAATGATTTGGTTCAACACTTAAATGTCTTCAATCAAATAATCATGGATCTGACACGGCTTGATGTGAATATTGAGGATGAAGACCGAGCAATGATTCTTTTGTGTTCATTGCCTACTTCTTATGAACATCTGGTGACTACTCTTACATATGAGAAAAAAACAATTGAAATTGATGAGATTACTGCATCATTGTTGGCTCACAACCAGTGGAAGCAGAATGCAGAAGAAAACTCTTATAGTAATTGTTTATATGCTAAGGGTATTCAGGATCGTGAAAGTAAGGAAGAGAAGGAGAATTTTGGAAGGCAAAGTTCCAGGTCAAAGCCTAAAGGCAAGAAGATTCGTTGTTTTAAGTGCAAGAAATAGAGACATATGAAGAGAGATTGTCCAATGCTCAAGAAAAAGGCTCGTGATGTATCTTTCAGGGTCAGGGCTGTGAATATGGTGCAGAGTGACATTACAGGCGATATGCTCTCAGTTTCATCAACTCAGTTCACGGATACATGAATTTTGGATTCAGGGTGCTCTTATCACATAACACCTAACAGAGAGTGGTTTACTTTATACAGGTTAATTAATTTTGGCTCGGTCTATTTGGATGATGATAGATGTTGCAATATTACTGGTATTGGAGAAGTAAAAATTCAGATGTATGATGACACAGTTAGAATGTTATGTGATGTCAGACATGTTCCAGAGTTGAAGAAGAATTTGATTTCTTTGGACACTCTACACAGAAATTGTTTCATTCCTAAGACAGATGAGGATAGAGAATGAGGATAGAGAAACCATCGGAAACCATCGGAATTGTTAAGGGTGTACTGACTGTGATGAAAGGGAAGATCACTGTAGGCAACATCTATAAATTAATAGAAAGTGCAGTTGCAGTTGCAGGTGGAGATCGCTCTGTTGAATCATATGGTGAAAATGCAACACGAACTTTGACCAAGCTAGGTTAGATGGTTTGGTTGCCCAACCCACTTTGGTATAAGAAACTCCATGAGATATTTCTCCTAAGGGGTAGGATATTCGCAAGGTGAAAATTTTTTTTCTCCTAAAGGATTAGTTATTTGCAAGGTGAAGATTTTCTCCTAAAAGGGTTGAATATTCACTAAGGTGGAAATTTGTTTGATAGGCACATATACCGGGTGATGCATATCTCCTAAGGTGTTGGATATTCATCAAGGTAGAGAATTGTTAGGTATGGCTCATACCTAGGGAGTTGGAGTTTCTTGGTGAAGAGGTATGTCTTCTGGTGAAAAGGAGTGTATCTTGGAATAAAGAGGGTCGGAAGGAGCGAGGGCGTGATTGTAATTTTATCTGTGGGTTTGTATATGTCTATATATATGTGTAACCCTACGGGATAAATATTATAACTTCTCTGAAATAGTGAAACCACCGCTCGCTCCCGAGGGCGTAGGCAATTCTTTGCCGAACCTCATTAAACTCTGTGTTCTTCTTCTAGTTTGTGTTGATTCCTGTTTTATTCCGCTTCAATTCTCATAACAAGATTCTATGAGAATTCCTGCAGCTTGTGTTTTGCAAATTCTTTGAAGAACGTAGTTTTCTGAGAAGTGATTTTGGAACTGTTTATGCCCTGATTAATGTTTTGTTTTCCCTCTCATGTTGGTAGAGGTTTTTGAGCTATTTAATCCATGATAAATACTAAAATATGATAAATACTACCGATAATACATTTTTGCATCAAAACTATTGACTATTCAATACACCCATAAAACAATTATTAAACCCCTTTCTAATAAACTGAAATATTTAATCTTCAACCAAACAATCATTCATCACATCACTTCATAGGAAAGTGAAACCCTAATGATCAAAGTTGAATTAACAACATCATATAGTTGTGATTAAGATAGCAAAGGATTGGGGGAAAAATGTAATTGTTCAGAATAAAACATTCAACAATTTTTTCCAAACAGCAAAATGTGGTGAAAAGTGGCAAATTGAAATCAGAAAATTGCAAAAGAATTATCACTTTCCATTCTAAAAGCAAACTCAAATCACAAGTAAAAGAACAAATGGCAAAGCTGAAATCAGACAATATAAATGTGAGGCTTCAAGAGCAGCGCGAGACACTAAAGATAATCAATCACCCTAACAATCACTGCAACAGATACCAAAACATTCTATTTCTATAGAAAACTCAACAAACACAGTCAACTACTGAAGCAAAGTCAAAGACTCCTTCCTTCAACAAACTGTACAACAATCAGACACGAATACAGGGAAAAAATAGCAGCTTTGAAGAATTTTAGCTAACTCTGACAAATTCTATGTTAAGAATAGATAGGAGAAGCCAAAGGTCTAGGATAAGCCATTTTATTATTTACAGCACCATCCAAGCTCTTTTGTGGGGATCTAGCAGGGCTATTACTGTGCATCTGACCCACCTTCTTGAGCTCAGATTGAGGATTCTTTGCTGCATCATTAGATGTCTGAAGCTGCTCTAATGCAGACACCACCTGATTCATGCTTGGCCTGAACTTGCCCTCACTGGAGAGGCACTGTAGAGCTAGCATGGCTACCTTCTGTGCTCCCCCCAGCGAATAATCCCCATTCAGACGGTTGTCGAGGATGCGGAAAATCTTTCTCTTGTTCGAAAGATAAGGCCTTGCCCACTCTATAAGATTGTGCTCTCCCGATGGACGATTTTTGTCGATAGCACGCCGACCAGATAACATCTCGAGAAGCACAACACCGAAGCTGTAGACGTCGCTCTTCGTTGTCAGGTGGCCTTTAAAATATAAGAAAGCGTATCAGAATCAAAATTTTCCTTCAGCAGTTTAGTCTCTTTTGTCACGAATATTATCTTTTAAGAAGAAATGATGATTACATATCACAGCAATTAACAAAGTGTTCACAGAATACTTGAAGAAATGCAATTTTAAAAATAAAAAAGGAATGAGTTGATGGAAAAAATAACTAAAACTGTCCCAACAAACCAGAAATTATAAGCCACTACGTAAGAGATGTATATGGAGGGCATTAAACTACCTGTTGCAAGATATTCAGGAGCTGCATAGCCATATGTTCCCATAACCCTGGTTGAAACGTGGCTTTTGTCGCCGGTCGGACCATCTTTAGCCAAACCAAAGTCCGAGAGCTTGGCGTTGTAACTCTGAGTTCACCGAAAAATTATAAAGGAGATCAATAAAATTCTAATATAACAATCATTAGTTTTGGCGGTTAAAAGTTTTCTTCTACAAGATAAAAAGAAAATTCATAACAAAGGATTTTAAAGATGCTAATGATTTAAACGATAGTCTTGTTACTAACAATAAATGTATTCAGAATTTCACACAAAATTGATTATAATTAACTCAGCATTATTTCTAATGTTTATGATTAATAAAATCAAACTTTTGTCTATCAATCTATTGGTTCAGGTTCATTAAAACATATTTTGATTTTTAATCCATTCTTCTCAAATATTACTTAAAAATATATTATAATTTAAGCCTATTCATAAGTATTTGGTAAATATTTTTAGCATATTTATACTTCAGGTAATAAAATAACCTTTATAGTGCATAAATATAAAAAAATTGATACAAGAACATAGAATTGGTTATAAAAACTAACTAAATCATCACAAACTCGAATAACAAACGTATGAATGTTCAAGCCTATTCATTATATATTGAACTTTAAGAAAATTTACTTAACATTGTTCGATTATTGAAATAAATAAACCAAAATAAGTCTTATATAAATGTGTATTGAGTTATTCATTGGGTGTACTAATTTGCATACAAACCTAAACCCAGGGCTTTGTTGAAGTAGAGAAGAAAAAACAATAATAAGAGGCAAGAAAAGGAAAAGAGGAGGGAAGAGAAGAGAGCAGCTCACTTAGTTTCTCTCTTTTGCTGTCGTAGTGAACCATCGCAGTGCAGCGCAAGCGTGATTATGTTCAACAACAACAACAACAACAACAAAGCCTTAATCCCACTACGTGGGGTCGGCTACATGAATCCTTTTTCTCCATTGCCAGAAAAATCTTGTAGTTCTGAACATGAAACTACACAAGATTTTCTGGTATTTTCTCCTAATATCTTTAGTTAATTTTTAGTCATCAGGATTGTGAGAAAATTATGATATATTATTCTTAATCATGACTTATTTTTTATTTCTGTGAATGTTAGCATAGGTGAACCAATCTTATTAAATCATGTAAATTTATGTGCCTTGGTTTTAGTTTCATGCAATTGTTCTTTTTGAGTCTCTTTCACCATTCAAAAGAATTAAAAAGACTAATGTCACATTGAATCAACATACTGAATCAAGCAGAACATTGGAAGATTTGAAATCACGATAAATGACTTTTGTCTCAGTACTGTGCAGAAAGGCTAGCCCTTTTGCAGCCCCTAAAGCAACTTTCATCCGAAGATTCCATGAAAGGGGTTGGAAGTAAGAACTCCCTGCACCAAAGATTTAAAAAACAGAACATCAAACATCACACAAAACTTTGATCTAAAAGAGTTCAAAATATGACGGCAATAACCAAGTCAATGTCAGTCAAGCAAGTATGGAAAACAAATTAAAAGAAACTGAACAGAAGTACCACTTACTCCTGAAGAGATGATTCTCTAAACTTCCCCGAGACATGAACTCATATACAAGCAAGCGGTGTTCATCCTCCAAGCAATATCCAATCATTTTCACAAGGTTAGGATGGTACAACTGACCAAGGTAATTCACTTCTGCCTGCAAAATCAAAAAAAAAATTCCAGAATAAACTTAAATAAGTAAACTATTTAGCTGTTCACAGAAAAAATAAAAAAGTCGTTTCAGCAATGTTACTTCAACTATAGAGAATAGAAAGAAACAAAACGGAAGTGGAAGGATGTTATCATACATCTCATTTTCATGCAATACATCTATGGATATAATTAGCTACCAGGCTGCAATATGCAGCATTCGGTCCTTATAAGCTTTTAAAAGTTCACGCCAACTTAAAATATTATCTGAGATCATATAACTTTGGGATAATACACATACATACCACAATTCCTATGTATTTACATATCTAATAAATCTATGCATGAAAATGTAAATTCACTTTTAAAAAGATGGTGATGGTAATATTTTTTAAGTGAACTTAAAGAGTTGAGTGTTATGATTGTAAATATGAATGTATGGGTGTTAGACATGTAAATAAATAAGAATTATATGTTATGCATGTAAATTCCCTATAACTTTTACCAATGCCAAACCAAGGTACGCTTGCCATATACAAAGAGCCCCTTAAACTGACTGCCCGTCCAATTAAATAAAGACGAAAAATGATTTCAAAGAAAGAATAAGAGAATACTACTACTGAATAGTTATTCTTAAGAAATTAGAGTGCCAGGTGACGAGAATATCACATAAGGTAAAAAGTAAACTTTATAAAATTGCAATCAGGCTAATTATATTGTAGTGATCTTGCTCATCATCATCTTCATTAGTTTGTCCCAAGTATTTCGATCAAGTTTTATGAATACTCATTTTGTATTCATTTATGCTAAGTGTTGCATGAGACAATAACCTTATTCTTCGCAAAATTTGTTTGAAGGGCCTTTGACCATCTTATCTTGCATTTACCCTTTTCCGTTCATGATCCTTTGACATTAAATTTATCTTTCAATTATGTGAGGGCATTTTCTACCTTTCACACGTCAAAGCCACCAAACTCTAATTTCAATTATATAATTTTAAGTCGATTCTATTCTAATCATACCTCTAACATAAAAGCTTTTCAATTTATCTTTCTTTATTTAGCAACAAATCCATCTTAGGATTCTCATTTCTATTATGCTTAATTTAGCAATCAACAATATTTTTTTGTTGGACATTTTCCAAATATCAAAGTATTAATTAATAAATAAGTTGAGTTTAAGAAAATGAATATGTGAAAATGAACATGTGGCAAATTTGAAGGAAAAAAAGATTGCATAGGTGTATACAACAAAAGGAAAAAAAAGATGAACAAATAAGGTGAATAAATATGATTAACTATGAAGCTATAAAAAAATGAGAAGACTTGTGCTATGGAAAGTGATTATTAAACATCTTAGTGTTGCACAAAAATCCAACACACAAACATATAAAAAAAAGATAAAAAGAGAAGACACCATAATTTTTTACATGAAAAAAATCAGTATGGGAAAAAGTCACATGTTCTGCCTAGTTAAGTAAAAATATTTCTCTATAAGTGTGTAAGTACAAAAATATACATTTTTCTCACAACTGGGAGAGCAACGTTACAATTTTACACCACATATAACACTTATTCGTATACAACGCAAAAAAAATTTTGGGAGTCTGAAAACATCATCATAGTACTAATATGACGGTAGCAAGCAATGATCGTTGGTGACCAGAATAAAATGGTGACGTGGGTCGGTGCATGAAGACCGAAAGTTATCTTTGGGTCTTCAATACAGCGTTATACGTTACGATCATATTTGACGTTAGCAAGCAAGGGTCATCGAAGGCGGCGAGCAAACGAGGTTGGGGCGGCCGGCGGTTGTTGACGATGGTCAATGACTATGGAGGTCAGAAGTTATCGTCGGAGTCTTTAGCTTAGAACAGTCTTTGGAATTCCTTTTTCTTCTCCCCCCTCAAATAAAGAGAGAGACTATTTACAGCTTTTGGGTAGGGGTATTTTAGTCTTTTTGGCGAATAACTTTCCCAACTACCTTATAGAACGACCCATATTAATCTGCCTTAATCATGGGATTTTTTTTCTAATGATTTGAGGCCCTTAATGACCTCAAAATTAAACAAGTTTAGGATTGTTGGATTCCTCTTATCGAGATGCTTGGTTCAAATATAAATGTCAACTTTGGAGTTCATTTAACATTTCCATTCATGATACAAAACTTCTAAAAGTATTTTAATAGCTTGATCTGAGTTTGATTAGATTCAGCTTGAATCAATTTAGGTATCATTGGGTTGGTCTTGTCAATGTGGCCAGTTTGACTATAAATTTACTAAAATTGAGGTCTTGGATGAACTTGAATTTGAATTTGGAACATTTCTTGCTCAAAAATACCTCATGATACATGACATATGATAAAAATTTCTTGATGAAGCAACAAAACTAAACATGATTTGATGGAAGTTCTGCAAAAAAGACACCTGCAAAGTGACCCGTGAGCCATTGCACCCAGGATTCATGGAATGAAGTAGGGTGTAATATGGATTATATGTGAAGCAAGAAACTGAACATGTAGTTTCAATAATGACGAAAACTAAGCAAAGATAAAATGAGGAAAAACTCTTCCATGGATCCCCTCTCTAGTTGTTTGATTCCATGTTATCTTTCAACTCTTACATCTCCAGGCACAATCAACAGTCTCCTATGGAACTAGCTCTAAGCACGATCAACACTCTCCATGGTGCCTTCTAGAGTTAGTATGAGTTCAAAAGATTGTATGCTTCAACTAATCATGAATTGGCTCTAGATGACTAGCCCAAGAAGATAACAAAAGGGAAAAAAGTAATTGTGTGCAATTTTATGCCCAATATTGTCTTTTATTCTTCCTCTTCTTGTGTTTCATCTCTCCAAATCACTCAAATATCTCTTGTTTTCTCATCCTAACATGCCTAAATATTTCTCTTTATATTCTCTGTCATAACTCCCCAAAACTGTCCAAACTCTTAAGTTACGGATCAAAATTTTCTTTAGAACCAAAAGATTTTGTTTCGGAGGATCGCCGTACTCTGACCAAGAGCCTCGATTCTACTATAGTATTTTACGGGCTGGGTGTAGTGCCATAGGACTACCTTCTCTATTTAAAATCCTATATTTGAGCAGTTTATAGTAAAAGTAGGCAATGCTTTCAAGCATTGCTAATGATGTAGCATTGCAGTACACCAAGTCAAAATTAGAATTTTTTTCATTTTTTTTCTTGTTATTTTATTTTATTAGTCCATTAGTTCATCATTGCTCTTATTTGCTCTATTATTTATGCATCCTTCACTTATGTTTGTAAGCTAAATTAGTAATATATCTTCACTTATATTTGTAAATTTCATGAATTTGTCATAGAATTTATTCATTTTTAGTTGAAAATAAGCTAAATTAGTAATATATCTCATAAGTAAGACTCATTGATCATGCATCTTACTCCATCTTTGCAAAATCAAAATGGTTGAGCTCTCCAGAAAAAGCACAATATCTTGATCTCATACATATGGGGCTTCTGAAGATGTATAACATACATAGAAAGTATTTCACCCACAACATATCTTTTATGTACACTCAAGTATTATGAAGAGAACGTTAAATTTTGTATCAGTCTTTTTAAGTCCAAACAAGAAAATATGTATATGGATAAAGAATCATCTCAAGTACGAGTAGCTTGACCAAACTTGCCGAGATAACATTCTTATGAGTCCCCAAATCAAAAATACAATTAAAATCCTCCAACATCACTTGGACCCACAAGATAAATAGTTCCACATGTTCACCAAGTGTCGGCATTCTTGCCTCTTTACCATTTGGCATTGCCATCAAGGAAAGGCTAATCCTCAGGCAATATACAGACTCTAGAGCTTAATTCTAGTCAATAATGATAGCCACATTCTTTCCCTTCACATCTTGCTTACAATTACCCGAAAGTAGCTTTGGTTGAAGCCTCAAGCTCTTCTCTTTACAGTGTAATGAGATTTGATAACGATCGCCACTAAAGAGTAATTCTAAAAGAAGAGTTTGTCAAATTACCTTTGGTTCCAATTATTGCAAGTAAACTTAATCACAATTTCCTTCCTCTCAATCAAAGGTTTGCCGTCATCATTCTTTTTTTTTTTTTAATCGCCATAAATATTTTAAGTTGACCAAGTCTTTCATTGAGAGAAGAAAGAGCTAGTTGGAGGTGCTTTGATGCAATCCTGTCAGATGCTTTTTCCATACAACACATCTTCCAATAATACACCGAACATAGGGGTTTGCCTCTTAAACTTCATGGTGTAATCTTACATGTTCTGATGTTGTCATTTAAGCAATCGGGGCCACATCTTCCAACTTTTTCCATTATAATTCTTAGAAGATCGATTATTTGAAGTAACTTTGAGAGATAACTTGACACCCATAACGAATATGAGTGTTCCGTCAAATCCAAATGTTTGGTGAGCTTCAGTAATGCAAAGAATACCACTTGGGAAGAATAATAATGAGACCAAATTAGGTCTCCAACCAGTTTAACAAAGCAATTACTCCATCAAATTTTGGGAAGTTAATCTACCTTAAAAGTTTAATGTCCATGTTAAAATAAAGCTCGAGATCCTACTCTTTTGTGTCATCATCTTGCCTTCAAGAGATTCCACGAGTTTCCTATGGTTGTGATATAAAGATTTTTTTCTTGGTATAATTTTTATTCCTGTTTCTTGATCCTATACAAGTTCTACACTAGAATATTACTTGCTTATCATCTTCATCATCATAGTTATCTATTATTGAAAGAGTGTGACTTCATTCACCAAGATGTTTGGAAATTTTTTGTTGGTTGGATGACATTTTGCCTTACTCTTGTCTTATTAAGGCTTTCTCTAGGGACAAGAATTGTTATGTCATAGTCTTTTAGTACTTTTAGACAACACCATCCACCATGGGTTTTCTTCAAACCAATCAATACAAAAAAAAAATTATATAAAAGTCACCATGCCAAGTAAGTCGTAAGGAGCAAGGTGCAATATGAATTCTATGTGGAGCAGAAAACTAAAAAAAAATTTCTTTAATGGAGATAAAGGAGCTAGCATACAAGAAAGAATAATTTTTTTTCCTTGAATCCCCCTCTCTAGCTCTCCGATTTCATGTTCTCTTTTAAGTACTAAGACTTGAGTCACAAGTAACCCTCTCCTAAAGAAGAAGAAGGCCCAACTAACTCTCACTTCACCCTTGTCCCATTCACTCCCCTTACAAATATGGAAAAGTCGATTATAACATGACCAACATTTAATACAATAAGGCTGAAAATCTCTATTGTATATTTATTACACAAAATTATAACTTTAAATGAGAGAAGTAAATTATGAACGCACAAAAGTAAATTGTCATTGCCAAATCATCATCATTATTGTGTTGATAAAAGTCTTCTTGAGCACGAATTTGGCTGATCTCTCGTGTATTTTGGAAGCCTTCTAGAGAGCTCTAGACTTCTGGCCTCCTCAAGCTCTTTAGCTCTATAGTCCTTGACTTCTCTACTGTTGGCACAAGGCTCTCGCTAAACCATATGAAATCTCTTTTAAGCTTTCTTCTCGGCGGTAATGCTTCTAACTCGTGATACTCTTGACAACAACATAGGTCCTCTTGAGACTTCCCTTCTCAACTTTCATGTCAACTCAATGCTGTCTACATCATTGACTCATTTGATCTCATGATCAATAAGGACCTGGCTATGCCTACCCAAATGGTTGTAAAATGAAGACAATTACCAAACAGTTTATAATGGTTTTCCCCAATTTCAAGTGTATGGAAATGATTAATGAACCTTCCTTTCATAACAAGGTCAAAAAAAAAAAAAAGCAAAATTATGCAAATGTGAGCAGAGCACCGAATAACTCACCAACCATTCCTTGTGACCCTGTAATCCCTCCTGATTGAGCCTCTTTACTGCGATGACCATCCCAGTCCCTGGCTTGGCCGGTGCAAATGTGTTCTCATCAATCCAACCCTTAAATACTGAACCAAAGCCTCCTTCACCTAACACACTATCAGGTCGGAAATTCCTTGTTGCGGTTTTCAGTTCACTGAAAGTAAAGCTCTTAACATTGGATGATTGCAATATTTCCCCCTCACTTCTTGGGGTTGGAGGCACGGATGACATAGAAACCTTACTGCTAGAACTACTTAAACCAGATTGATCTTTGGTACTGTTCATCCCTACAAAACAAAGCATGAAACCTTCCAATAAATGAAACTATCATTAAAAAAAGTAACAGACACCATTAAATAAATAATTACAAAAGATAAAATAAAATAAAATAAAGATGCCTGCTTTAGGAGGATAGATAAACCTAACTGATCCCAGCATTAAATTGAACCAAGAATTGCATGCTCCATGATAAAGTGAGGCCATATTAGTACACTTTTGAAGTAAATTTTTTTGTGGTGATAGAATTAACATTTCCTACCAAATGTTAGGAAGATTCACTCCTTTCCAAAATCAGATTGCTGCAATGTTCTAGTTGGAAGAGAACTAATCCCTGTATTAATTTCCTCCTTCTGGATTCCTTTAATTTACTTTCAATTCTGGATCCACAAATTTAGCTATGTATCTACTATAAAATATGTACCACTTCTACCAGATAAAACAGCAAGAATGGAAAAATAAGATAAAATTTCTCCTCCGGTTTTTCTACAGTAATCTAAAAATAGGAGGTACAAAGCAGAATTTTTTCAGCAAGCCGATTCTTATCAGTAAGAAAACCCTAAATAGATGTAAATTGACGCCCTAAACATTGACACTTCAATTCGCAAGCCAAATCCCTTCTTAGCGATTCATGAACAGCTCTTTCTTAAAAACATAGAATCAAAATAGAACTTCAAATAAAAATAAAAAAAATTTAAAAAAAAAAAGAAGCTTCGGAGTTCTTATTGAGCTACAAATGGACGCGAAAGCTTCTTCGAATGCATCATACTCACCTGAAGTCGAGTACAGGGGGACCTCCGCCTTGACTTGATCCCCCCAGCAATTCCCCATTAAGAGAGATCAACTCTTCTTCTCCTAGCCCTCCTCCAGTGTCTTCAACCCGATCCACCAAAGGTAGGGTTTAGTTCAATCTCTATAATATCGGTAAAGAGAGAGAAAGCCAATTCCCTGACAGATCCTAAAGAAAAATCACGGAATCAGATCACAAAAACAATTCTTTTACACGCAGAGCGCAGGCGCCAATCAAGAAAGCTTCCGAATTGAACGGCGGCGAACTTATGAAAGCTTCGTTTACCTCCAGATAGTACCCGTTCTCTCAATTTGCAGAACAGAAGAGTTGGGGGCGTTCGAGGGCGTTCGAGAGAGAGAGAGAGAGTTATACCTGCTCTTGTTTTCTCTACTGGGCGTACCGGCTGTTTGACCTTTTACACTGCAAATTAAAGAGACACAAAAGAGAGGGCTCAATCTTCCGGAAAATGAGATGATAATTTGATGATTGATTATTTTTATATGTACAATATAAATTTTATTTTTATTATGTTTATTTTTAATTTTATGGTTTTAAAGTTATATTTTATTATTAATTATTATATAGTGAGGCATTTACGAATACATCACATAATTTTTGTATATTTATATATGTGTGTGTCTCTCTCTCTCTAACATCTTAATATTTATATTTACATGCATACAACTCAGATCATAAATACATTTTTTTCATGCATAGATTTATGACACTGAGATGCCGCATAAGTATAAATATCAAGCTCTAGAGTTAATATATGTAAATACATAAGAATTGTATGGTATGCATGTAAATTTTCCGTATAAATATAATCTAATGTAATTATATAATATAACTAAAATATATTTCCGACAGCAAATTTATATTTATTCTTTGAATTTAATAATATGTCAAATAATTTAGTTGTATTTGTACACCTAAAATGACTAGAGGCAACGTACAAGTCACATTGGCCCATCGTAAGATGTCAATATGAGGAGAGTCCATCAGATTGAAATCTCTAGAAACGAAGCACAACAAACTTACTTGGCCACAAAGCTTGACACAATTGATTACGTCTGATAAATCATTATGTGTTCGATCTAATTACATAGGAATTGAAGGCTATATTTATTAATCTTCCATATATATAGGTTCGCGGGAACGAACATATGTGAAACAGTTCGGATAAAGGGCTACGGCAGTTCGGCGAGTTATGCTTCGGGAAGTTCGCGGTAGAGGCGGCGTCGTGACTTCGAGGCGCGGTAATTCATGAACCTTCGCGACATTAGGCGAGGTAGAGTTAGCAAACAGGAGTTCGTGTGCAGTTACCGCGAACGGGAGCGTTTGCGAACAGAGGAGTTTGGTGATGTTCGACCAGCGGAGTTTGCAAGTTCATTGCAGGAGGAGTTGCGACAGGTAGAGTTCGGTAGGGTGCTAGCGAGCGAGCAGACGCGATTATTCACGAACAGTGGTTTCGCGGAGGTATTTCGCGAAGGATTTCGCTCACGGGACAGCAGTTTAGCCGAGGTGCTGGTGCGAACAGGAAAAGTGCTTCAACCCATATTTGTGCATAAGAAACTCCATGATATTTTTCTCCTAAGGGGCGGGATATTCGCAAGGTGAAAATTTTCTCCTAAGGGGCGGGATGTTCGCAAGGTGGAGATATTTCTCCTAAGGGGCTGGATATTCGCAAGGTAGAGATTTTCTCCTAAATGACAGGATATTAGCATGGTGGAGATTTTTCTTCTAAGGGATTGAATATTCGCAAGGTGGAGATTTTCTCCTAAAAGGCTAAATATTCGTCAAGGTGGAGAATTGTTAGGTATGACTCATAATACCATAATTTGGAGTTTCTTGGAATGAAGAGATGTCTATTGGAATTAAAAAGGTGTGTCTCTTGGAATTTAGTGGGTTGAGATCAGCGTGGGCGCAGGTTGAGAATTTAGTGGGTTGAGATCAGCGTGGGCGCAGCAGAAGCATGGTGACCCAACCCACATTGGTGCAGGTGTAACTCCCAGGTATATTTTCTCCCAAGGGGCTTGATATTCGTCAATGTGGAGATTTGTTATTTTATGGCTCATATAACATATAGAGACAGACGCTGGAACGAAGCAGAGCAGAGCGGAAGAATCTGTCCAAATCGGGAAGTTACGTTATGTGGGTTGGGGTGCTGGGTCAACGCCCAGCTATACGGTACAGGGGTAATTTGGTAATTACATATTGTACTGTAAGATTTACTCTAAGATTATAAATAAACTTGTTTGTAATTCTAGGTCTTTGAGAGAGTTGAACCTTGTATTCTATATTTTTTTCTGAGTATTGAAAAGGAAGTCGCCACTCTGCTCCCGAAGATGTAGGCATCTTTGCCGAACTTCGTTAAACCTCTGTGTTTTCCCTAATTTCTCAATAATATATATATATATATATATAGTTGGTTTAGTAGTTTGGCCTAACTAGCTAGTTTGGTAGCATGAAGAAAATGTCTTAAAAGTAGAAAATGTCACGGTTGAGCTATTAATTAATTTCTTATGCGCCTTTGATTTATTTATAATAACTAAAAAGAAAAAAAAAGGGTTTAGATTAATACGTTCACGTGTTGATTTGGCAGGCGACCAATAAATCATATATTTACAAATGTCAATTTAAAATTTATTTTTGTAATTTTGATTTAACATTTTGTGTAAAAGTTATATGTAACGTTTGAGGAACGCTGTTGAATATTATCATGATAATTTTATTTATTATTATTATTTTTTGAATTTAGATAGAAGCATCGAAAACGAATTGAGATTAGACATAAATTTCAATTAATTATTTATTTTTATTCTTGATTTTTTTTAGAACTTGAGATCATATAATGTATGTGGGTTATGCCCAAATCTTATTAGCATTGAGAAGAACATGGGAAAAAAATAAGAGAGAAGGTGGAGGAGAGTCGCGAGAAGTTTGAGTCTTTTTTTTGAGCTCCCTCATTATTTTTACATTTGATACTTATTTATAAGTCATGAGTCTTTCTTTTAGTATGATGCAAAATAAAAATATATAAATATACATAATGTTATGTTATATTACGTAGTTTTATGTCATGTCACATAATTTTATGTCACATCTCGTAGTTTTATGTTATTTATGTCATGTCACGTAGTTTTATGTCTCACATAATGTTATTCACGTGAGAAGAACAAGCAGTTTTATGTCTCACGTCGTTTTATGTCATGCCACATAATTTTATGTCACATCATTGATTTACCAATTCGTCGGTTAACTAGTTCCTTAGCAGCAAATTGACAACTCAATTATCTTTTTTAGATGTATATGATTACATGTATATGTCGTCTTGTTTATGCATGAACAATTGTATTTTATTTAAAATATGATATTTTTGATGTGATATGAATGATTAAAGTCATAAAAATATACGAAAAGTAAATTTTTGTTTAATATGTGGAGGAGTTATTCATATTGATCATCACTCTTGCTAAATAAATACTTATTTTGACAATTTACTTAATGATATGGAGGGAATCTAGTCAATCCTCGTGGAAGATGGCCAAAACTCATGGCGACTTTCAACACAATCATCAAATTCATTTTTAACACTTACATTGAGGCCGCAAAGTGAAGGACAGAAGGCCAGTTTTTAATCATCTCATGTTCAATTAAATCATGAGTTTTACATGATTTAAACAAACAAAGTATATATTTATATATTTATATATATGCAGAGAGAAAGATTCATGAAAATCAGGACGTCCTGAATTCAAAGTCTTCTATATTTGATGCAAATGTGTATATATAGAGAGAGAGAATAGACCAACAAATTCATTCAAGCATATATCTCGATGTAATATTTTGATTCGATAAAACAAACTCAATTGCTCCCAAAATTATTCGATCCAAGCGCAAATGAGCTCAATTAATTCTAGCACTTAAAGTGTGGCTAAAACTTTGGGGATATTAATCAAACTGACTCGTGATTATTCAATTTTGTATCCGTTAAGGCACTTCAATTTTAAATAATTGGTGTGTGGTCAAGATAATTAACGTGAACCATCCCAATGACTAATGAGTCCCTTGAAACTATGGCGAAAATAATCAATATGCTAATTTCAAAATGTATAAATAAAACTAGCATTCTCTATATGTGGGAGATTGAGATTTAAAATTGAAGAGAGTTCATAGATTTTGTTGATAGATACCTGACTGCTGGACACCAAGAAATTCAGAAGAACTCCTGCTGGCCGATTAGTACCTACAGTTCGATGAAGAGCACCTGTCGAATGCCTCCTGGACTGTCGAATAACTGGACAGTCGAAAAAAGCCTGGACAGCCGAATGGGAGGAAAAACGCAGCAAGCAGAAAACATGGAAAATGAAAGAAAAAAAATTGAGAGATGAGCTCTCATCTTGCCACAATCTCTCTCTCGAATCAACTCGATATAAGATCTCCAAGATACTCTCCTCAATTTCTTGAAGTATATCATCTTTTTTCTTTAACCAACTGATTTTCTTTCCTTAGCCACATCTCTACAAGTATTCCTCATTATTTATAACTAATGTACCTTCCACAAGTAGACCCATTTCATCAATTAGAAGCTTCAATTCTTCTTTAATCGTTGTTGATAGAATTACGATTCAACCATCCAGTAATTGTGAGTCATTGTAACAGATTTGAATAACCATAGAGTATGCTCAATGATCGATGCCACTGAAACATTGCTAGCAATCACCATTGCCCAACAACCATCTTTGGAACATCATTGTCCTGAATTCAAAGCCTTGAAGCTAAACTTTATGTGATTGTAGCTAATACAATTTAGAACCCTATTTTGGCAAACCCGGATTCATAAATATGACATTGTTCTTTTGAATTACACCAATGTATGAAATACACTCATGAATGATAAGATTTCTCCATCCCTAAAGATTTACACCCTCCTCAAACAATGAGGCTGAAAATTTATAACAATACTAACTCTTATATACAAAAGAATAATCATTTCATGACAACTACTAGTACTTCAAGTCACGTGCAGTTTGCACTTTCCTCCTCGTGCTTATTATTATTTACATAAAAAGGGAAGAATGAGAATGTGGTGAGAGAGAGGCCATCATAGTCCTCTCACAATGCTTGTTGAATAAGCTACTGATCATCATTTCTTGAATGTCGTTATTTGACCACAATCAATTGATTATCATAACCTAATTGTCATAATCACCCTACTCAACTTTTCTCTAATCACTTCTATAATTACAAAAGATCAAACAAATACTCTAAATTATATATATATATATATATATATATATGTATATAAGGAGAGAATATTATGTATAGAATTT